AAATGCATAGCTAAACAGATGTGTTTTGCGTCTGGATTTGAAAGTGACTACTGTAGGAGCACATCTGATCTCCTCTGAAAGCTGGTTCCAGCTGCGGCTGGCATAATAGCTAAAAGCAGACTCTCCATGCTTAGAGTGAACCCTTGGTATTTCTAGCTGATGTGATCCTAATGATCTGAGTGATCTGTTAGGTTTATATTCAGTGAGCATATCTGCAATATATTGAGGTCCTAGCCCATTGAATGATTTATATACCAGTAATAATACTTTAAAATCAATCCTAAATGTAACTGGGAGCCAGTGTAAAGACCTGAGGACTGGTGTGATATGTTCATATTTTCTGGTTCTGCTCAGAATCCTGGCAGCAGCGTTCTGTATGAGCTGCAACTGTCTTATGGTCTTTTTAGGAAGGCCAGTGAGGAGTCCATTACAATAATCCACCCTGCTGGTGATAAAAGCATGCACAAGTTTCTCTAAGTCTTGATTGGAAACAAAGCATCTAATTCTTGCAATATTTTTCAGATGATAGTATGCTGATTTAGTTATTGCTTTGACATGACTACTGAAACTAAGGTCTGACTCTAGAGACACACCAAGATTCCTGACTTGATTTTTAGTTGTTAGACCCCTAGCGTCAAGGTATGTATCCACCTTGAGAACTTCATCTTTGTTTCCAAACGCAATAACTTCAGTTTTGTCTTTGTTTAACTGAAGAAAGTTTTGGCACATCCAACCGTTGACTTCATCAATGCATTGGCACAGGGAGTCAATGGGGCTGTAGTCGTTAGGCGATAGGGCTAAGTAGAGCTGTGTGTCTTCTGCATAGCTGTGGTAAGCAATTTTGTTCTTTCTCATTATTTGTCTCATTGGGAGCATATACAGGTTGAATAGGAGTGGTACAAGAATTGAGCCTTGAGGGTCAAGGGAGCAAGTCATGGATGTCCACTCAGACTTATGGTCTCCTATACTCACATAATAACCTCTCCCTTCTAAGTATGACCTGAACCATTTTAGGACTATCCCAGAAAGCCCACCCAGTTTTCCAGCCTGTCAAGAAGTATGTCGTGATCGACAGTGTCAAATGCAGCACTGAGGTCGAGTAGTACCAGCACTGATAATTTGCCTGTATCAGTATTTAAGCGAATATCGTTTATTATCTTTATGAGCGCTGTCTCTGTGCTGTGATGCGATCGGAAACCAGATTGAAAATTGTCAAAGTATCCATTTGAGCTTAAGAATTTGTTCAGCTGATTGACTGAACAAATTAAAGGCTCTTCAGAAGGGATATGGTCAACCCCACCATTTGGTGGGAAAGAACTTACCAGCTGTACGTTTAGGAGATTCCGTTGGATTTGGCTATCAGTGTTAAGGTGAGAGTCTGAATGCCTATTTGTTACCTGGACAGGTACTAGACCCTTCCTTGATTGGAGTTTTACTTCGGTTTAGAGAACATCAAGTTGCTATCAGTGGAGACATTTGATCCATGTTCCATTAAGTCCGCCTCTTGTCTTCTGATTCGCCTCTGCTACGCTTCTTGAGGCGAAACATGAGAAGAAATGATGCAGCTGATGTCTATGAATGCCAGGTTTTGCCTTTTGGTGCTAAATGTAGCCCTTGTTGTGCCACATATGCTCTCCGGAAATGTGTTCAGATCCGTCCTGTTGAGTTTCAAGATGTTCAATCCTCTTGCAATCCTTTTATGTGGAAAATTGCTTGCAAAGTTTTCCAACTACAAAAGAGGCCAATGAGATGCTTATGAAGTTGTGTTCTTCCTTAGTTGAAGGAGGTTTTGAGATTCGGCAATGGGCCGGTAACCATGTCTCTGTGATTGACCACTTACCAGCAGAAGCTTGTTCAATAGACACTGACCTGTGGTTAAGTCATGACTGCACATATCCATGCAAAGGTACCCTTGGATTTTGGTTGCCATTGCTTGCAGAATACCTTGAGCTACAAGCATCGTCTAGTGGAGTATACTGTCCTAACATTGAGGGTTGTATATCGGATACTTGCTCGTCAGTATGACCCACTGGGTTTCATCATTCCATTCACGACACGTGCTAAAGTTCTTCTGCAACAGTTATGGATGGAGCCTACTAGAGGATGGGATGATCCAGATATTCCAGAAGGAATCAAGGCAGCCATGATGGCATGGGAAGGAGAGTTACCAGATTTGGTTAAGGTCCAAGTACCTCGATGGTCCAAGAAAGAACTGGGAAGATCCAGTCATCAGAGAGCTTCACATATTCTGTGACTCATCCAAAAAGGCATATGGCTCAGTTGCCTACTTGCGTCTGATTAATGGAAATGGCGAGATTTCTATATCTCTTGTCATGGCTCGTTCAAGGGTAGCACCGAAGAAGACCACTTCTATTCTTCGTTTAGAACTGTGAGCTGCTCGCTCTGACTGGGGGCTCAGCTAACGAACCTGTTGCAAAAGGAACTCACATTGGCAATTGAAAAATTGACACTTTGGTCTGACTCTACAACTGTGTTTACCTAGATCCAGTCCGAATCCTGCCGGTACAAGATCTTCGTGGCGAACTTTTGGTTGCTGACTTTGATTCAACTCTGTGCCACCATGGACCACAAGACTGTTAGCTCAGCTTTGTCTGGGTTCTGAGAGGGTGACTTAATAAAGAAAATTCAGAGGTCATGTCATGGGTCATGGGTGTAGAAAGTGGAAAGGTGTGCCTTCCATTCCCAGAATGGCTGATCTGCCAGCTTCCAGACTTCGTCGGTATAAGCTTCCCTTTTGGTCTACAGGTATGGATTGTTTTGGACCTTTAACCATCAAAGTAGGTCGTTGACATGTAGAGGTGGGGCATTATCTTTAAATGCCAGACAACATAGTGTCTTCATTTGTAACTACTTTCTGTTATGGATACTGACAGTTACCTTCTGGCCCTTCGAAGATGTGTAGCTCGTAGAGGTCGACCCTATGAAATATTGTCTGATCAAGGGACTAATTTCAAGGGAGGAGAAAGAGAACTCCGGGAAGCATTTTCTCAGCTTAGTGTCTCTCTTCAGGAGATGATTGCCCAACAGCAAATTAAATTCTCATTCAATCCACCATATTCTCCCCATTTGGAGGTACTTGGGAGAGAGAGCTACGATCTGTTAATACAGCATTACGAGTAATTTTGGGAACACAAGTAGTCTCAGAGTATACAGTGTATACAGTGCTTGTTGAAATTGTGGAGTTGCTAAACTCAAAACCCTATCGGCTATCTGTCTTCAAATATTTCAGATATTCCCTGATCCCATCACCCCAAATAACCTAATGATGGAGCGGCGAGATACATCTCTCCCACAAGTGATGTATGCAGATTCAGAACTACTTACCCATAGAAAGTGGAGACACAGTCAAGTTCTAGCGGATCGATTCTGTGCCAGTTTTTCTTAAAGATTATCTTCCAAGTCTTCAGACTCGTCAAAAGTGGATACTTGATGGTAATCCTATTGCTCCTTCTACCATACTAGACAATGTAAGTTCCTTTTGCTTGTTTGTTTGATATGTTTGATATTTTGCATACATTGAATTTTAGTTTGTTCTGTTTCTTTGATCCTACATAATTATTGGTGATTACAGATGTATGTTTTAAAACATGCTAATGTGTTTGTATTGAATTGATTGGTCGACAGAGAATTGTCACTTGCACGTGCTACAAGGGGAATGACAACACCAGAGGCGCCATTTTTTTTAATAAACAGTTGAAACACAATACAAAAACAGGTCTTTATTTAGTTATCTCATTTTTGAGTTATCTCATTTTCATTGACTAACATTTTGACAAAAAAAATTCATCACAATGGAGTGTAATCTGTATTCATTGATAATGTATTTAATGCTGTGCCTAAAGTTTCATTAGACAGACAATAGTCAGGATAATGCACTTTATCTCTCTTTTTGTATTGCACACAATAATTTGTGATTACCATTGTCATTTTTATGAGTCAAAAGGGTAGTAAATATTTTATTTTAATATATATTCATTAAGTGAATTAAGGATTAAGTGACTCACAACATTTATGAATTTGTATATTCTTGTTTAAGCTTTACCTGTCCAGTCAAATTATAATTTGTCTTTGTCGTCTTTTTTTCTTTTTCCTCATTGTCGTTGTTCTGTTTGTTCTGTGAAAAAGCAAAAACACCATGATTGTGTAAAAAAAAATTATTCATCAACGAAATTAATTGCTCAACACTGAACAAAATCTCCGGATTCTGACTAACACTTCTGATTGGCCATTGCGTTCAAGAAATCAACAGATGTGTCTGTGATTGGCTACATTGCTCAACACTGCCAAAGCACGTTGTAAATAGAAACATTTGACGTTCTCCAGAGCTAAAACACAAATACGCACTAGAGAGTTTAGAGTTTAGTAGAGTTCTATTATTACAGCTTCAGCTGAGGGTGTTCTTGCACCCCCGTGGAACCAGGCCTGACCGAACCAAGAGACTCTGGCTCATGACAATTAGACAATTAGACTTAATAAACAAAAATATTTGTTACCACCTAATGCAAAAAAATTTTCTCAGCATTTACTAAGCACTGGCAAACATGGACCTCTTGAACTTCCTTGCCTTTAAGGATCGACCTTTAAACGGATGCCTGGTGTGATCCTCCTTGTGACAGCTTGGGTCTCTATCACACATATTTTTTGGGGGGAAATATGAAATATCTAAATTAAAACATAATCTATTTAACAACATTCCTGTTTCTGTAAAATTACAAAATGTAACAGCCTGCCTTTATGAAAAATGCTAAATACTTTCAATACTTCAATAAGTCAAACTTTCCTTTAAAATCTCAGTGGTTTTGTTGTTCTCACTTGTTTATATATATCTATTTTTTTTATTTACAAAATATGATAATATTAGGATTTTTGTTTGAAGGACAGAATTAATAAAAAACATTACTATTTAAGACAGTCTTTGACACTAAACATAAAATACTACAGCTAGAGAACATGTATTAGTCTCTGAAGCAAATCTCAACAAGATGTGGCAAAGTCAAGATTATGTGCAATGCGTGAAAGTGCCTCATCATGTGTGTGTAAAGAGATGCGCGCTTCAGTGAAATCCATTCTTTCGGCTCGAGTGTGTTTCAGACTGAAGAGCAACACATGCACACGCGCTTTCTTCCACCTCTGTGTTTGTCACCCACCCGCACGAGCCCGTCTCCCCCTCCTCATTTAGCGTGTGAGTAGGAATGGATGGCGCACAGGGCCCTCTGAAAGGACAATAATAAAGCACAAAGACGCTGGTGAGTTCTTCTCCTTCTTCCTCTGCGAAATGCCGCATTAGGAAACGCGCGTTATAGCGCGGCACGAGATGTGATGATGGGATACATGTGCAGCTGCGCGTTCACATGAAGAGCTTTTGTGTCCTCATCACCGTCTCGAACAGCATCCCTTTAAACCTCAAGTGTTTCCTTCTCGGACGCAAACGCTAATACTTGCTCTGATTTTGGGGCATGATAGACGGATAATGTGTGAGTCATTGCTAAAACAGGCTATAATGCTGTAATTTTTAATATTACAGTCAGTGTGTGCTGCGTTAATGAAATGCGGATGCAGGTAAAGAAAAATAAGAAAGTGTCTTTGCAGGAGATCTAGGTGCTTGGACCTCCGCTAAAAAAGTCAAGAGAAAGAGATATAGGGGAATTTTCGGTCAAAGCAAACAAACGGATACTGAACCTATAAGGCATGTGGTTCATGATGTCCATGCGATGTAGCCTATATTAAATCTTCTGACATTTTATTTTAGACATTACAAAACTAACATTATACAGTAGGCTACATTATGCATTAGCATTTTTTTTTATGTGAAGTTATATTATTGCTGCCTAGCCTGTATGAGATGAATTGTAAACAGTGTAGGCTATATGTGTGTAGTTTGGTCATTCCTACAGTCCATACTTCCAATCTGTGATTTCTACAAAGCCTAATTCCTTTGAAACACACAATGAATTATTGTAATCTTTGTATTTTCATCAATCAACAGATATTGAAAACTGATAGAAAAGTAATATTTGGCGTTTTAATATAATATTTTACAAATGTTATAATATTTTATAAATTAACAGTGAAATGTGGCGTTTATTGTTAATAAAATAACACTGAATAACTTAAATAACACTGAATCGTGGACTTTAAAGATATTCTAGGAAAGTGAACCAAGTAAAATGTAACATCCAAGCCTGTTTTTTCTTGTTTGGTATTTGCGTTATTATAAATAGGCTTTACTCTTTTTAACCAGCCAATTTCTATTCATAACTGAATTTAACATTATTTACAATTTAACATTATTAATGACTTAAAAAGCACCAAATTGTACAAATAACTCTAATCTGATCTTAATCAGTTATAATCAATAAATAAACAACCCCTAATTGAGATGTCTACATTTTGTAGGCTATTTGACCAAAAATGTACAGAACAGTGAAATTGTAAAATTTCATTGTAAAAAAACATGTTTGCCAGTTTTCAGTCAAGGCATTTCATTTCAGCATCCAGACTTGCAAGGACTATAATAGCATTCTGTACACCCCATGTTTACTTTCTCAGATCCTGAAGACTCGATGTCCCAGCTGAGAAGCATATGTCCAAATGTCTGGTTTTCTCACAGCCAGTCCCTGAAATCCAGTCAATGAAGTCCCTACACACTCTCTCTCCCTGCTCTGAATGGAGCCACTCTAATAAGAGGTTAGGTTGCTTCACAAACCTATAGATTATTACACAATTGCATGGTTTTATCTCATTTAATACATTGAGAAAGAGATTTACTAGAGATTTGGCACCAAGCAAAGAAAATCTAAAATAGCGTATTTGTTAAATGAGTTAATTTATATAGTTCATTAAGTTCTATATCACACTACTGACATATTAGATTGAATATCAAGGGATGCATGCATATTTTATCCATACAAAATTGAATCTGTTCGAAATTTTCTTATAGTTTTGTAATTCCAATCTACCTTTCTTCTTAATTAGTTGAAATGGAGGATGAAGATGGTACTTGTTTATTTGATGTTTTGTGGTAAGTGTTACATCTAGTAAATTGAATTTTCTCAGTTTGTATGTATTTTATTTAAAGCAAAAAACAAAAACAAAAAAACATTCACATCGGAAGAGTTGCAAGATATTTTGCTCATGTTAACTACTAAATGTTTTGCTTTGAAACAGTGACCCTCAAGCCCTGAATGATTTTCTTCATGGGACAAACGAGGTATGAAGGGATTGTAATATTACTGTGTGGCTGTAATCTTTAAAGTTAGTAACATAAGTGACTACCTGTTACAGTACTTTCTCCAAAACTTGTTTCAGTTGTGGTAATTTGGAAACCTTTCCACACTTATAAGGTCATATGTAGGGAGATCTCACATGAAGAACTGAGAAGGACCTTAACAAGAGAAACTCTTGTGTTTGTATACATTTTGTGAGCAAATAAAAGGTCTAAAAAATACTCCAGGTAATTAACTGTCCCCCCTTCCCTTCTGTTCAAACAGCTGCCAAGTGGAGACTTACTCCTTAATTCATCCTCTGGAGAGCCATCACTCTTCACAGACACTCCAGTGAGTCTAGACCTTTCTCCCCATGGAAGAGGCAATTATGTGACCCGTGCTGGCAAATTGAGTCGCAATGAGCAAATTTTAGTTATTAGTTTTAGTTATTGTTATTTTCTCTATTCTATACATTCCCTATCCTATTAAAAACCTTCAAAATTATGTATGATTTGTTGGAATCAGACAAAAAAAAAATGCCTGAGCTAAACCTGTTTGAAGTCGATGGAGTCAGCAAATTCAATTTAGTGAAAAATCGAGTTAAAGTTTTCTGAAGGCTCCAAAACAAAATCACCTAGTAACCATACCTTAAAATCCCTGGTAAGACCATCAAATTTGGCACACACCAAGTCAAAACTAAATATCTATAGGATATATATATATATATATATATATCTATACATATTCAATTCAATCCCAGGATACCAAAAATGTTTGATTAACATTTATTTATTCATTTTAACATTTTATTTAACAGACAGTCAATATATTCAGACCTACTTCACCACATAGATGTAATGTTACACATCAGATGATTTTCCCCAATAGTTTCCCCAACATAAGAGATAATGTTTGCGTGAATACTCGCCAAGACAGATATTTTGAAATACTGTAATTTTGTTAAAGTATGTGCATAACAGGATTGTGCGCTGTCTGAAGCGTCTTTGTGCACACTCTTCAGCTCTGTCAGTCAGCGCGAGTAAGATCGTTTTGTTTACATCAGCATAAGTTCGAAAATCACATTTCAATGGTTCAGACTCATGCCATCGAGAATTTGCTATGTATATTGACAAAGTTGGAATACTGCTTTACAACGATACCAAACTTGTGCGCAAGGGGAAGCGTGAGAAGCGAGCAGAGAAAAACTGAATTTTTCAGCCCGTGCGCCAGCATGGGTCACATATAGATTTGTTTCTGCTGGGATCTCCCAGAACTCAGTATTGCATGTCTGTCTAACAAAATCCACTTTTTATCATCAAAGGAATTGATATTTGAATTTAAGCTTTATAATAGTGTTTGTGTTTCTAGCGGACATTTTACATAATTGTTGTGAACTTTTGTTCTGCAGAGTCCTGCATCTCTGTTAGCAGATGATGCAAGTTCTCAGGACACTCCTGTCTCTGGCTGTGTAGATCTGTCCTTTCTGGAGGAGGCGCTGCTTGCATCACCGGTATCATCTTTAGGAAGTGGAGGTCCAGAAGAGACACAAGACCACTTAGTGGAACAGCTGAAAGAGTCAGAAGAGATCTGTGACATTCTCCAGCAGAGTCTCCAAGAGGCAGACATCACTGAGGACACTCTTGCATTAGAGGCAGGACTTGCCCAGACAGCAGAGACTCTCCAGCTTGGTTTGTCTGATGCATCCCTTCCTTTGCCTACAACACCATATTTCTCCAAACCATTGACCATGCCTGGCTTAATCTCTTTACCAAAGGACACACAAACAGCAGTGGAGCCTCCTCAGCCATCTTTGTTAGCTGTTGGTCCAGGCTGCCCCTCACTCAAGCCTCCAGGAACCCAGTTAATGAGTCTACTTCCTGGGAATGTCTTCCCCACACCTCCACTCAAGGCATCCTTTTCTATTAATTCAGCACAAAGGACCAGCATGATTACCCAAAAGACCCTGCCAAGCCTCACAAGCTGCCAGATGTTGGCCTCTACCGTTAAAACAATTACTCCATCAGTGGTCATGTTACAAAAAACTCCTCTACCCATTCAGCCCAAGTTAGCTGTCAACATCCAGCCCAGGCTTGTACAGATCAGTCCCAGGCCATCAGGACAAAAAGCATTGCCAGGATTTGCCTTTATCTCAGCAAATACAACACAGAGTGTCTTGCTATCCCCTTCTGTTGGCTCAAAGCAGTCCTTGCAAGCACAGTCCGCACCAAGTGTTAGCAAACCTGTTAGCTTTAATTTGGTTGGTCAGGGAGGCCCCATTGTCATTCAGCCCCAAGATCCTTTTCAGGGTCAGAGACAATTCTTTCTGCCCAGCCAAACACCTGCAACCATGACCCAGTCTACCAGCATTTCAAGGTGTCTTCTTAGTACACCAAGCAATCAGATGTCTAACAAACCCAACGTTGACAGTTCTCAAATTGTGACTATACAGCCAAGACAAATAAACTTCAGCCCTATTTTCACCTCTCCAACTGGACAATTCACCCTCAAACATGGGGCACTTCTATCAGGGTCTTTACCGATTCGGCCAACACCTCCTACAGTCTTCCAGATGCCAACACAGCTAGCAGGGACCTATGCACCTCAAGTGCAGGTACAGCATGATGCTGTTGTTCAAAACACAGTCAGAAACCAGATCAGATTGATTAATAATGTTAATATGCTCCTTCCTGACATGACCACCACACCAATAGGGAATGGTGAGTCAGTGATACAAAGAGCTCTGGTAGGGAGACCTGAGGGGAAGGTGAGTCTTACACAGAATTCAGTGCTTCTCTCGCCTGAGAAAACATCAGAAGATGAGGAGAAAGTCAACGAATTGCTTCAAGTGAGTTCATTTGTGACATTTTCTGTTGTAATGTTACGAATGTCTTCGAACAGTAAATATTATAACAATTAAATAACCATTTAAATGTTATTACATTTTGAAAACATGGTTGCATATTACAATATATTTGGGGCTCAATATGTTTGTTCACAGCTTTTTTTAAAAACTTGATTTGGCAGGAGAGCAGATTGCCTCCTCAAGCTTCAGTGGAAGCACCTATTGTGGAGATTCACTTTCATCCCTCTCCAGTATCAACTCTACTACAGTCAAAACCAGATGTTAGTTGTACCCCAGAGCCAGTTCTGTCATTACCCCCACAACTGATCACCCAAACAGAAGAGCAACAATTTACTGAAGGAGAGCATAATCCATTGTATCACAATCAGGGATCAATACATCTTCCTCAACAGGTACATTTAATTGTGCTCTGTCATAGGTTCTCAAGAATTTTGTGTAATTACATTCAAAGACAGAAATGAAAATGCTGCCGCATATTAGAAAAGTATTTCATACCTCTTCAGTAAGTACACAATATACTTCTTTTCCTGCAGGATCCACTTAAACCGTCAGCCACCCAAGAGACCTTAGCTACAACTCTGCTTGTGCAAATGGACAACATCTCTACTGCCACAGGTGAAACTGAGGATTCACTTACACCTTTGACTGCATCTGACACCTTTTCTGCATCATGTGAGAGTAAAGAGATTCCTTTGGCAGTGTACCATGCCTCAGAGCACAGTGACATTCTACTGCAATCTCCTACTGTAAAGACCACAAGCACAGACTCCATGATAGGCTCAACACCCCCAGCCTCAGATGAGCTGGATTCCTTCATGTCGATTGCTCTTTGTGCTGAACCCAAGTGCCAGGAGGGACCTGTAAAAAGTAAGCCTTCCTTTTTGCCTTAGAAAAGTTGTATCAAAGGCAGTTTAACTAATTCATGATTTACCTGAGCTCAGAGGAACCAGAGAGTCTTTGTTTGCAAGCAGTGACCACAAAATCAACACTCATGTCATGTGAATGTGCAAAAAAGTTTTAATTAAATCACGAACACATAACTAGTCTAAACAAACACATAGACATTCAAGCATACACTGGTAAAATGGAAAGGGAATGAATGAAACAGAAACAGGGGAATGAAGCTATGGAAACGAAAAAGTCAGTTAACCACCTGAACAAAACCATCAGTTTCTTAATTTAAAGCATCTTGGTAACAAGGGGTCTACAACTTATTCTAAACCTCTATATAGTTAGTTAAATGTACGATACTTGCTTTGCCTTAGCCGTTGAATGAGTGTCTGAATGCAGTTTGGATGAAAGTGTTTATGGTTCAATTGTTTGATGGTGTTGAAGTTGCAATCAGGTTCTTCTGGATTGAGCGAAGAATTACGAACTTCAGCTATGTTAGTCTAACTCTGTTGTTATCGGGAGCGTCCTTTCTGGAAAGGATGGCTTGCCCCTCTCTTTGCTCCGGGGCAAAGTGAGGTCCCGCTACAGTACATGAATATTGAATATATTACAATTAATATTATCACTGTAGCTGTGGAAGAACAACTAAACAGTCTAAATTGAACATTAAATTGATACCTCTTCCTTATTAGAGACCAACAGTGGAATAATCTCTTTGGACCAGCATGACTTACGGGAGATGGTATACCTGCATTCCCAGGACAAAGAGACCTACTCAGCACTTCAGAAGAAGGTCAAGGTGCAAAAATAATAAATAAAATGTGAAGTCTTCAAGAGATCAGTCTAGATTTAAGGGAGATGTTATTTCAAAGTAATTCGGAAAGTATTCTTTTATTAATATGCATTTTGTGTCACAGACACCAATTGAATGCAGTGCGAAGGAGGAGAAACTGACACTAGCAAAGAGGCAACACATGTAAGTAACATAATTGCTCAGTTCCATTCTAATTCTATGTAGACCTCACCATGGATTAAAAAAGATGTAAGGTTCCTTGCATAGCCCGATTCCCGAACAGACAATTCCTGCATTGATTACAGCTTCAGACAGTACAGCTTCAGTAAGCAGTGTCATTGTGTCTGACCAGACACAGGGAAACAACAATGAGAATAATTTTCAAGGCAACAAACTTACCTTAGGTCAGGGATGCCCAATTCTCTTCCCAGAGAGCTACCTTGCTGCTGAGTTCAATTCCAACCCTGCTCCAACACACCTTTGTGTAATTATCAATTGTTCCTGAAGATCCAACTTAACTGCAAATCTTTAGTAGCAGCAGTGAACCCTTCTGCCCTAGGTACAAAAGCAGGTTTGGGTTGCAATGTAAACCTTTTGCACCCAGTCACAGTGGGTGAACCTGTTGTGGCAAAAAATCATTAACCAACCAATATCACTGCGTAAGAGACATTCTGAGACAGTCTTTTAAAATGATTTATTCTTGAAAGAATAGGTTCAGTCTGACACACAGAAGTTACGCTGTGCATGAGAGTGACACCCAACAGGAAGACATGAGACAGCCTGTATACTCTTTTCAAGGTTCCTCTTCACCCGCTGTACCTTTCACCCACCCAGATAAGGTCCTTACTGCTGTTCAGTCTCTACTTAAAGACACAAACTGGTACTGAAATAAACTGGCCAAAACTGGCTGTCCCTAAGGTCAGTTGTTCTGTCCCATATGTTCCTGAAACGTCACGCACAAGCACACATATATTTTACACATTGAATAGGTTCTCTCTCTCTTATGATATCTGTTAGGGATCAATGACTATTAAAATTTCCACAACAGTTCACAGTTGGGGTTGCCCACTTGTTTTTCAGAGGTCAAAACAAGTCTTTCAAAGAAAGGTCTGTCTGACCAAAACAAAACAAGTGCATCTCAACACAAAGGCACTTTGATTTCTGCCAGTTAGGTGAGCAGTGGACAATACATGTTTGTATATGAGACTTGGGACAGGGGTGTCCAATCCTGGTCTTGGAGGGCCAACACCCTGCAGAGTTTAGCTTCAACTTGTCCCAAAATACCTGCCTGGAATTTTTTAGTAATCCTGAAGGACTTTACTTTGGTTCAGGTGTTTAATTGGGTTTAGACAAACTCTACAGGACAGTGGCCCTCCAGGAGCAGGATTGGACACCCTAGTAGTACCTTCCCCAAATCTGACTTGCCTTGTGAGAGTCTCCAATACCTATACAAATTGTTTCCCCTAGAGCAGGGCTGCAAAATTCAGTTTCTGGATGGCCACAGTCCTGCAGATTTTAGGTTCAACCCAAACCAAACACACCTGAGCCAACTAATCAAGTCCCTCAGAATTACTTGAAAACTACAGGTAGATCTATTGAAGCCGGGTGGGAACTAAACTCTGCATGACTGTGGAGCTAAAAACACTTCAGTTTCAGTAACAGTTTGAATAACTACTTTTTGTTCTTTTCACTCAAATGTAGTTTATCTAAAGTAATTTGCGTATGCAGATATTCTGAGACTGTAATGTGTCAGTATGGTTAGAACTACTTTGATAATATAGGATGTTAAGTCCATATGGCACCATGAGAATCTTGTACACTTTTCTTTGAAATGAAATTTGGAGACATTGTCTATAAGCAGCATAAATACTATAAAATAAAACAGATTTGGAGATTGAATAAGGAAAAGTGGTTAAAGCTCGGGGCTGAAAACCAGAAGGTTGACATTGCAATCCTTGCAATGAACCATTACTATTGTGTTTATTCAAACGTGATTCTCGCTGTAAAAAGTATACTTTAAGTCACTGTATCTGCTAAATGACTGTTCTTCTACTTACATACTGCATGGATTAGCCCTTGATGGCCAGAACAACCTGATTTTGACTACACATGCAGACAGTGAGGGTAGAAGCTACTTGCTAGGAGGCAGATTAGAGCAGTGTTTCCCAACTGTGTTCCTGGATGCACTCCAACAGTGCACATATTGTATGACTTTTCTTGACCTGTTAATTTTAGGCATTGACTTCGCTACTAATGAGCTGATGAATTGAATCAAATGCATTTGATTAGGAAGAGTTAGGAAATGTGTACGGTTGGTGTGCTTATGGGAACAGGGTTAAGAATCACTGGATTAGAGGGAAATCTCTTTTCATCATAAAAAAGCTCTTTTGTCACCAGGGTCCCACAGAGAAGCTGACCATTGAATATTGAGCTCATCTACATACTCCAATAAGATTGTCTCATCAGTTTGAATGCTAGCCGGCCTGAATGTCTTTTTTGGGAAGGATAGCTTTACCATCATCCTTATTGTTCATGCTGCAGAGGAGGAGTGCAAGCATCTCAACCTTCTCTTGGTCAGCTTCCACTTCATTAATGTGAACAACAAGCAGATGCATTCTACCTTAGTAATATTATGACAACCAGTTAGTTCCCATGGCTAAGAGTTTAGGTAAATTTGTATAAAGGTAAGAATTCACTAACAGTGGAGTAAGAGTAAGATATGCCATTCTTTTGCCTTGTCCAAGACACCATAGTGAGATACCTAACAAATGTTTGAAAGACAAAAAGAATAATAATGGAAGTCATCCACAAAGTCACAATAACTAATTGTTACAATAGAAACAATACATGTTAAATACATAAAAATACTTTGTGTATTTTGTTATTTTCAGGGTCAAACAGCAGCTATTTTTGGACCACAGTGCTGTTCTCAGTCCAAACACTTTGGCTCCATTTGTTTCAGTGGAGGATGCTGTCAGACATTTGCTGCCCTACCATACTTTTGCTAGAGCTCTACCCAGCCAGACTGACTTTATCTCAGGTTCGACTTCTATAAAGAAGTTTGAATTTGATTTTACAAAATTGTTGTCCTGTGATGGGCCCCACTGTAAACAAAACTTTATGAAAGTGTCTGTCATTCTTTGTGCAGTGGACAAGCAGTTTGAGTGTTTTTCAGTTGTTCTGTTGAAACGAACCAAAGACATGCTAAACAAGTACAGGCAACTACTCCTGGCTGAATCTGAGGTAACAGATGGCTTTTTGAAACGCTGAATATTTTGTTTTTTGGGAATATAAGAGGTGGCAGGTCTGAGTTGTTATTGCTTTCATTAGCAGGACAGCCCATCGGCAGAGATGGTGATGCTAGAGCGTTTGTTTCTGCAGTCAGAGAGACTTTCGCTGGGGGAGGATAAACGACGAGCCAGAAGAGATCCAGGTATAAATGCACAATATTCTTTCGTGTGACTCTTTCTCACTAGTTTCTTTTCATTGATATGCTCATGCAATTCTATGAAGCAGGATCCCTCAAATCTGTCCCTAGAGGGCCACTGCCTTGCAGTTTCACTCAAACACTGATCAAACTCACCTACCTGTAATTTTCTGGTAAATCTGAAAACCTCGATTAGCTTGCTCAGGTGTCTTTAATTAGAGTTGGAGCTAAACTTTGCAGGGCAGTGGCCCTCTAGAATCGGATTTGAGGAACTCTGCTGTAACGTGGACAGAGGTATTACAATTACAGCCACAGATTACCTGCACTCTGACCAGAAATAGTGAAATGTGAACAGGTTTCATTATTTTGGTGGTTCAGCAGAGTCCTTCCTGATGTCAAGGCCTAAGAACTCATCGCAGCACAGTCAAGTGTTATCTGTCCAGACTGGTCTTTCCGGTTGTCCTCCATCTCCACCATCGTGGACCTTGCAATCTGACAGACCTCCTGGCCTCAAGACATATCGCTCCAGCAGCAGAGGAGCACTACGCCTCACTATCAAACATGAGTCAGGATCCCGTAAAGTCATCCACAACTCTGCATGTGATGCCTCGAACGCCATCTCTGGGTATAAACGAAACTACAGCGGGCAGTTAACTAGGGGAGGCACCATGCAGGGGAAAGATGAATCCCTCAAGCCTCCTTTCTCAAATGTCGAAGAGAACAAAAATGATCTAAACAAGCTGAAATTACACCCTGACATGGAAACAATTAGGACAGGTAGCGATTCACAGAACCACTCTGAATCTGTGGCCATAGCAGATTATGTAGCTTCAAGGGTGCAAGGCTTACTTCCAGAGCAGTGCACTCCAGTGCTTAAAAGGAACAGGCTGGTTGCTTCGGCAGCAGAGTCTCCAAGTTTGCCTACACTAGTAGAGGAAGGGGAACTGAGTGAACACCTGCAAAGTGCTATAGACAGCATCCTGGAGCTGCAAAGGTTGCAGGGTTCTGCAATAGGGGTTAAACCCAAGATTCAACAGCCTCATGCACTGGATCAGGCAATTAGCAGCATGCTAGAAGGACAACTATAAGAGGGAGAGGAAAGAAGCGGAAGATGAACAGAAAAGCTTCAGGATTTACCAATCATTTGCTAGAAACATAGCGATAGCACATTTTACAGTCCTGCTCCCCATTTACATTCTATGTACTTATTATAGTTATTACTATAACTGGGTAATAACTAGGTAATAACCCTGAACCTACGTCATGTACTTACCTTATATTACCCAGTACTTTCTTAGGTAAATACACTGTAAATACATGTAAGTGCACATGCTGTAAAATAAAGTGAAACCAATATAGCTTATACATCTTGCAATCCACATCCAGCAGAGACTAATTTTATTTGCTGTTCCTGAGCAAGAAATCCTATTTATTATTATTTATTGTGCAAATAGAGTGAATAGAATCTGGGAAGTTTTTTGGAACCTTTTTTGTGGAGATACATTACAGTAATTTATAGCCTTCTATCAGTTTAAGGCAAGATAAAAACAAAAGTGCAGTTTGGCTGTTTGTACATGCCATTTTAATGTGAATGTGTCTATAAGACTATTCCTCATTTGATGGGGACTTGGGTCTGTTTGACGTTTGGTTATTTTGAATGCTCCTTACCTAAACTCTGGAGCTCCCAAAGAACCAAACCAGAGTACACTTGAAAAGGCAGCTTGGTGTGCCGGTCATGTAGGATTTATTTGGCCCAACAGCCTTAACCTGTGAAAACTGCCTTGTACAGCAAATGTGAGAATGTATCAAGGCGAAATGCTTGGTCCGAACTGGTTCAGAAAACACCAGCCGGATGTACTGATGTCAAGTAGACTTTCACACTAGAGTTCAGTGCACCATTAACTCAGTGGCCACGTGTTGTATGCCCAGACAGGACAGAATGTGTAGCTTCCAGCTTGTTTACCCCCAAAGAAAATATCCTGCATTTCATTCTGAAATCACCAGCTGAAATCACCAGATGTAAGAAATTCATTATCCCTAACCACAGACTGAAAATGTAAAGCATAACAGGACCTCCACGGGGCAAATGGCAGATATAATGTATGCCTTATTCCAGGGGTGTCCAAACCTGTTCCTGAAGGGCCACTGTCCTGTAGAGGCAAGTATTTTGGAGCTAAAATCTGTAGGACGTTAGCCCTCCAGGTGCAGGATTGAACATCATCGTCTTATTCTGTCACTGAAATGATCTGTACTATTCCTATTGTGGTCTAAGTCAAGAAGATATATAGATGCAAAAGCAATAAGTAGCAGAGGGTTGTTAAAATGTGGTTGTGCCTCAATCAAAAAACTAAACTCTTATGGATTTCATTGTTCTAAATAATTCAGCTGTATGAAAAGAACACTGCTGATATTCAACAACGCACTTAATTTAGTTGGAATACAGACCGTGTTTAATAGTTTTAACTGCAGTTCACCAAAGCCTAAAGCAGTAACTATAGACACCCAGACAGTGACAAATATTATATTGGATTACATTATTGTTAATGTATTATTTTTCGACAATCTACTACGTCATGCTCACCTTACACCAGCGACGATTACTTCCTAATTGGATAATGGAGTAGTATAGTGAAGCATTTTAAAATAAGTGTTTGTTTGTCATGTTAGTTGTGCCACTTGATGTCATTAATAATATTGTTCTCAAGTTGTGTGTTCATGTCTTATGAGACAGGAAAGACTTTAAATGTTTATGTATTGCTTATCTGACAAATGCTATGCACTACTCTTACAGAAAACTTGGCCACCAAACTAAATACTGTGACTGGCCCTAAATGTGACGACGATGTTTGTAACATACCCCATTTTGTTTGATTTCAACTTTTGTGTACTATTACTGTGAAACATAGAATATTTGACACGGATCCAAAACTGTCATTTGACAAACAGATTGTTCTGATGCCACAATCGAAGAGGCCTTAAAGCTGCTGTTCCAGAATCACTAGATGAGTCACTACTGATGTTGACCCCCATTTTAGACCCAATATCACTGAAGTGACCAAAACAAAGCTTTTTTTTTTTTTTTTTTTTTACGTTTCTACAGATTATTTATTAAATCTTGATTTTCTAAGTAATAAACAGTAAAACTGTACGAGTGTTGGACTGTTTTTTTTTTTTTTTTTTTTTTTTACGTTTCTACAGATTATTTATTAAATCTTGATTTTCTAAGTAATAAACAGTAAAACTGTACGAGTGTTGGACTGTTTTATGTGCTGCGATCATTCAGGATGTGAAAGAGAAGTATATTACACATCATCTACAAAGTAAACAAAAACTGACAACCACTACCCAACTCATCCAGTCTTAAGATTTGAAATTTTTATTTTTTTTATTGAAATTAAGGAAACACAGCACCTTTTAATAGGTTACATATGGACAAATGTAAATAAAAAGCTGTAGTGTTTCTTAAGCTAAATTATAAATGTTAGGCTCAGACGTCAGTTTCCTTGATTTGGCCATTTATATGCGTTGCCATCCATGGAGCTGAATCTCTCTGGCTGTAACTGCAAATACAACACAAACTGGCACCATGAAATCTTGATCGGGTGAGAATGTTGAGAATTAATTTCTTCCAGCATCATTTTAGCCCGTCTTCAATCGGTCAGGGGTACATGTACACACACACACCGAAAGATGTTCTGGTGTGTTTTGGAGGTGTCCTGACCTCAAGAAGGATTATAGTACAGAAGACATGATGTGCCAGGCTGTGCTTAATTTGGTCCAGTCTTTCAAAGATAAAGGGAGTTTTCCTAAAAACCCACTTAACAACCTGAAATTTTAAACCGAAACGATAAAGCTCCATTATGGGCATTCAAGTAAAAATGGCCATTTTGTACAGCGTCAAAAGATAGACTGATTTAACGCATAACAAAATATTTAATATGGCCTCAAACCTGCCTATGAATGTTGTATTCAATTGAAGATTAAGAAATAAGAAGAGCAGGTTTGGGCTGGTTAAAATAAAGTAGAATCTACTTTCCACAGGGAAATGAGAATGCTTTTCAACATTTTAAACATTAAAAAGTGTGCGCATTACGCTGTTATTATACCTATCACCATTTCTGTTTTCGCACCATCCTTGAGTTTAACGTTCTGCCGTTCACCACAGTGGCTTCCGATCCCCAAAGAGTCTCTTACCCAATTTCCATCTGGTCCCTTAGAGCCCATTCAAACTGGGGCCACAGTCTAGTCTTATGTTGTTGTTTTTTTTTCTCATTTGAAAGTCAACACCAGGGCTTGCCTGTGGCCAGGGCGAGTGTCTCTGGTACACACTCAAACAACACAGGACAGGACACAAAGGTGTTAAAACACACAGTGGGAACCGTCCTATTCCAGCAGTTGTAGCACAAAGTCTTTTTGTTTGGGTGGCGAGGAGCTCAATTGAGCTGGATTTGGAGGTCCTCGCCATACTTGCGCAGATATTTGTCATGGTTGTGGTTGACGGACCAGAGAGGGGGCAAATGGCGGGGCTTCATGCTGGTCAGAAAGTGTTGTCGCCAGCAGCGCTCCAGCTCCATCAGGCCACGCAGACCGTGCTCGGCGTACGCCTGCACTACCTTCAGTCCGTGTGGAACATAACTCTCGTTAAAGATCCTGCAAAGGTAGAAAACGCATCGCCTTTCAGAACTCGAAACCCCCTCAGTCCAAATCTTCACATTCGTAAGGACATTAACATAAGACAACACAAAGATCTGGTGTTCAGCAATTTGGCCCAACTAGTTGTATCTGTACTGTATTGTAAGAAAACACCCAATCCCAAGTGTACCATTTTAACAGTTGCTTAATGTTTATGCAATTACTGCCTCAGCAATCAGACTCTATGAAATATTTACCAGTTTTATTTTGCACTGATTTACATTAAACCTGGTAAACATTCCCTGAATTCACATTAAAGTCCCCCTGTAGTCAATTTTACCCCTTCTCTTGAGACTCCCCTGCTTCATAGCATAGTTAATGATATGCTAAAGCCCGCCCGCACGTTGATTTGATTGGTCTGACAAGATAGTTTAATGTTGTAAGAAACACCGGTGATTTCAAACTGAGTTTGAGACTTTTTTCTCTGCAGTTTTAAGGAGAAAATACTCAGCAATGGTGTTGACTTATGCATTTGCATATGGTTTGTCTTAAAGCATATTAAAAACAGCACATAGACATCATTAAAAACTTGATTTTCACCACAGGTCGAACTTTAAATTAGGGACACACACTTTTGATCTAGAGACCAGAGCCTGATTGCAATAAACCCCTTAAGTTAAGAAAAAAATTATTTTTATATATTTCGATTAATCGAGTAATCCGATTTTTCCCAATATTGTGTCAAAAGTACGTACTCATGGTTTTATTGAACAATACTGTTAAAATACATTATATACAGTATATGGGCTGTTTTATACAGCAGGAGAGACAGATATGCATTAAAATATGCAATAAAAACATCCAAATTAGGTAAGTCAGAACTTTCATTTTAAGTCAATACCATTGGCTACTCACGAACAATATTTACTTTGCCCTGCCCTCGAACACAGCAGTTGTATCTGAGGTCTGGAAGAGTTTGGGTCGTGCTGCATATGATACGGTAAAACTGAAGCCATCGTTACTGTTCGTATCACTGTGAATCAAGCGTAGGGATGACGTGATGGTGAGGACATTTTCCCACCGGTTAATCGACGTGTGACAACACCGGGAATACCAATATCACCGGGGAAGGGGCGCTGATTCGAAAGAGAAAGTAAAATAACGGTGCAGAGTGAGCGTTTTCAATCAATTCTTATGAAAGTTGAGCTTCCATAGGAATGAACTAAAAACGCTCCACGCCAGTGGAGATTCAGATGTGGTAATAAGTCGACCAATCACAACAGACTGGGCCATCTGACTAATCAGAGCAGAGGAGGCTCTTGAAAAGGAGGGGTTTAGAGAGACCGAATCCTTGGTTGAACTGTTTCAGACACTGTGAGAAAAGAGCTGATGCTGCAATGTATATTATGACTTTGGATGCATATTGTCGGAGACCTCCAAAACTAAATTAGGAACCTTTAAAACAGCATCTTGGGGTACTTTAAAACTAATTTTAGCTGTTTGTTTTACATTTCTGTAAGACGGCCACTTCCTGTCCATTAAAACGACTTTTTAAAAGACCAAATGACCTGGCCGCAGGTATAGATTACTGATGTGTAGAAAGGCCAGGTATAGTAAGAGTTTTGTTCCTGTATATATACGAGCTCTAAACACACAGGAAATCGGCCATTGATACGTCACTTATCCGCTCTTGTTTTGTGATGTCACCGACTATTTTTGATGGTATGATATGTTGATAATTTAACATGTTATGTGTGTTTGTGTTTTTGCATCTACGGATGGAAACAAATTTCCTCTCGAGGACAAATAAAATCTATCCATCTAGTATGTGGGTGTTTTTGGCTCAAAATGAGCTAGGCCAAGTAGACACTGGCAAAAGGAGTCTAACCTGGTCTCCAACGCTGCAGCTTTCTGAAGCATCTCTTGCGTGACCTCCTGCTGTCCGCTGCAGAAGAAGCTCTGGATGACTGACAGGAGCTCCTCTTTTCTGGACTGGGGCATGCCGTTGCTGGAGCTGAGGAGAGCCCGAGAGGCCGAGCGCACCCGGCGCCGGTCCGAGTCCTCGAGCAGCCGAATGCCCTCCTCGCAGCCCTGCGGAGCGGAGTGATCCTCGGCCAGCTGCTGCTTCAGGAGCCCGTCGTACACGTTTGAGGCCGCGTGGCACGAGGTGCACAGCAGCAGTATGTCGTGCGAGTTGTGGTCCTTCATCTCAGCCGGGAAGTGGCGCCTATACTCGTGTGGGACAATGTTCTTCCTGGGTTCAAATGGAAAAACAGAATTGTTGAGATGACGAGTCCCACTTTCAAAACAAACTCGAGAACCACAGTAAACTAGTGTCGTCAAAAATACGCTGTTGCGCGGAATCGTAAACACCTCTGATTGGCCGTCGTGTTCACAAGCTCATCAAATATGTCTGTGATTGGCTACAGTGATCAGCGCTTCAAAAACGTTGTAAATATACATCTACACTCTTCACCGAGCGCTTACACAGATACACACAGGAGCGTTTGAAAGCAGGACCGGTCCACTGATGGACGCTTGCTTGTGCTTTCAAAACGCTGTCAAACACTCCCGCTTTCAAAACGCTTTCACACACGCCCCGCTTTCACACACGCGCCCGCTTTCACACACGCCCCGCTTTCACACACGCCCCGCTTTCACACACGCCCCGCTTTCACACACGCCCCGCTTTCACACACGCCCCGCTTTCACACACGCCCCGCTTTCACACACGCCCCGCTTTCACACACGCCCCGCTTTCACACACGCCCCGCTTTCACACACGCCCCGCTTTCACACACGCCCCGCTTTCACACACGCCCCGCTTTCACACACGCCCCGCTTTCACACACGCCCCGCTTTCACACACGCCCCGCTTTCACACACGCCCCGCTTTCACACACGCCCCGCTTTCACACACGCCCCGCTTTCAAAACGCTTCACACACGCCCGCTTTCAAAACGCTTTCACACACGCCCGCTTTCACACACGCCCGCTTTCACACACGCCCGCTTTCACACACGCCCGCTTTCACACACGCCCGCTTTCACACACGCCCGCTTTCACACACGCCCGCTTTCACACACGCCCGCTTTCACACACACGCCCGCTTTCACACACACGCCCGCTTTCACACACACGCCCGCTTTCACACACACGCCCGCTTTCACACACACGCCCGCTTTCACACACACGCCCGCTTTCACACACACCCGCTTTCACACATGCCCGCTTTCAAAACACTTTCAAACACTCCCGTGTGTTGATCATTGTAGCCAATCACAGACATATCTGATGAGCACATGAACACAATGGCCAATCAGAGGTGTTTATGATTCAGCTCAACAGCACTCAAAGTGTCACATTTTTAAAAGTTCAGTACTTTTGACAACTCTACAGGAAACACGAGACAAACCTGATGTAAGACTCTGCTTTCCCGCACACCACACAGAGATTCTCTTTGGCTGTGAGGTAATAGTCTTTCTGCGAGTCGGGACGCCCTGACGGCTCAAACAGCAGCCGGACAATGAAGGGATCTTCACTGACCAATTCTGAGATTAAATTATGTACAGATCACACTTTAATCAATTATAATAGATATTATACAAAGAATATTTTTAACCTGAACACTAATTGGTCAATACACTGTTCTAATACAACCATCTTCTCACAGGAAGTTACTGTCTAAAATCGCTCACTTGTTATAGTGCACTATATAAGCAAGAAGTGAACGAGATTAAGTGAGGAATTCGGACATGGCATCAGAGTTGTCACATATTTATCCTACATGTAGCTTACTTTATAAATAGATAACAGACATAGTGTCTTTAGTTTATACATACCTACGTTCCAGTTTTAGTTTAATTCATGTTATATTAATGCTATAAATATAGATTTACCATGGTTAACCTTGTGTTCAAACTAACCATGAATTAAAAAAAACTCGCATCAAAAATAAGCGCATCAATAAGTGTACATTTGTACATTAAGTGCATGTAATGGCTCTATGAGCAACGCCCAACTATATTCCTTAGCAAGGATGGTATTGTTCAGTGAAAACCAACAATTTGAAAAAAAAAAAACCTCAATATTTGTATTGCCTAGTAACCGAATCAAAGCATATGAAACAAAAATCTGATTACCTTGTAGACTTTCTAAATAAATACTAAAGATAGAATGACATAAAATCCACTTTTAGATAATATTTAAAGAATGTTTGTTTTTTTACTGTAATGATCACTGTTATTGTAGTATCATTGATATAAAAATAAAATGGAATACAAAATATTAAACTATATATTTAGTTTGAGTTTCAGTATGTGTCATTTTACTAGTTTTTGTTTTAAATGTCTTTATAGTTCATATTATGTTTAGTTCTTCCATTTAGTTTTTAAACTGAATGAAAATTATAAATGTTGCCTTGGTAACTAGCTGAAATAAAATATGTTCGTTTTTTATATTTTTATTTTATTGCAGTTAATGTTTATTTCAAGTAATGAAAAGGTTTTTCATGTTTTAGTTAACAATAATTACCCTGGTAATGATAGCGTCTACTGTCCAATTACAGTTTTTTTATTTTACAGTCTGTTACATATTACATGTACTTAATAACAGTAAATTATACATAATTACAAGCAACTGACCGTAAACGAAACCCTAATCCTAACTCTAACCCTATAGTAAGTACATGCTAATTAATATTACTTGTTACAGTGTAATTATACAATTAAGTATTAAGGACACCTTAAAATAAAACGTAACCCTTTTTTTGGATCTGGCCCACTTCAATATTAAATTATGGTAAAAATAATAAATGGTTATGTTTTATTTTAAGGTCTCTTTGTTACAGAGTAATTATACATTTAATTACGGAGTAATGTTAATTAAGATACTATAGGGTTAGTTGCATGAAATTATACATATTTACTGTTATTACTACAGTAAGTACATGTAATATGTAACAGACACTGTAAAATTTGTACTTCATTGTTATCATAAGCTACTTTGTAACACTCTCATACTGCATTATTACACAAGGTGAGGGGAAAAATACATTTCTACTATGTATTTATAATTTCCATATTTATAACCATGTGTACCTCCTATACCCTTTTCCAGGTACCATTTAGCTTTCTTCTTGTCACATGTGCAGAGTGGCTGACCATCAGGAGCATGAAGGAAACAGTTATCATAAAGGGGTGATTTCCTGAATGAAGACAAAAAGCACATCAACAGTCACAGCATGTCCTAAAAGTTTTGAACCAAATATCTAAAACATGACAAACTGTAATGCTTTGTGCAAGAGATTTGGTGTAGGGCTGTAAAACTATTAATCGCATCCAAAATAAAAGTTTGTGTTTACATAATATATGTGTGTGTACTGTGTATAATTGTTCATATATAATTTTTATATATAAATACACACATGCATGCAAGCATATGTGTAAGAAATATTTGCATGTATAAACACTATGTATATACATATTAATATATATTATATATAAATATTTTATATATAACATTTTTCTTAAATATACACATGCATGTGTGTATTTATATATATACAAAATAATTATACACAGTACACACACATATTTTGGATGCATTTCACAGCTTCAACACCATTATTCTCAACTTCAACACCATTTTGAAAGATTATTCGTACATTTCATTATCTTTAGTCAGATGCATTTCTATTGTGACAAATTACAGGAAAAGCTACCAGTTCCTTCATTACCTGGCCGAGTAACCAATGCCTAGTGGTTTGCGTTTGTTTCGCCGTGGGTCTGGAACTTGCTGGTCTCCAGACTCAGGACTCTCCACTGTGGACTTTCGGCTCCGCCGCCGCCTCTCCCCTTCCTCCCCCTCTCCACAACTATAGCGCCCCCTAAAGGGCACATCCACCAGCCCCTGACAACAGGCTGCCAGCGGGACGAGCGCCGCTTCACCCTCAGCGGGCACACGGGGCTCTTTGCTCATCCCCCGCAGGTGGAGGAACAGGGCTATGGAGATCTGGGCATCATGTGCTGCATAGGTCATCTGGTGGATACAGTATGAGACAATACAGATATAGTGGTAACACTTTACAATAAGGTTCATTAGTTCATGTATTAACGAATATGAACTAACTAGGAGCAATACATTTGTTACAATATTTATTAAAGCTGCAGTCAGCAGTTTTTCCTCTGTCGCCATCTCTGTTCGAAATCTGCAATTGCAGTCATTCGCAGAATTATCAACTTTACGTGAGTTGTGCCTCGGCTTGGCACAGCGCGGATGAACACAATGTTTGAGGAGAGTGTGAGGCTGTCAGTCGGTGTGGATACTGGCATTCAGAATCACAGATTCTACTTTTTGGAAGTATGACCAACATAAGAATTTTCACCCTAAAATGTCTGAACAAGTAACATCCACTTTTGTTCTTCTGATCAACTAAGGGGAAAAGAGCGTTGCAGTAAATCGCACTGATTAAATCTAACGATCGATTATCATATCACGTCAAACCGTGCAAATTATACTTTGTCAAATTGTTAATGTTCAACATCAGCATTGCGTGACTACATTTAATGCCCTTCAGATATTTATCCTCGTCTTCGTATGGGCCGGTTGCAGTCTCTCTTTCCAAACTCTCAGTCCAAAGTCTTTTGCATTTTACAGCGGGTGAATCTCTAGTTGTCACTGGTGATTGGTGGTGATCCGCCATCAAATTGATAAGTTTAATTATATCAAGAGCTGTGACAAAAGGCTATAAATCTCCACCTCCAACATCCTCACTCGCAATATAGCCTACTAGCCGAGACTCCTTTATGTGTACAGATGTGCAGAAATTATAACCGTACAGATGTGCGCGTGTACAGATGTGCGCGTGTACAGATGTGCGCGTGTACACAGATGTGCGTGTACAGATGTGCGTGTACAGATGTGCGTGTACAGATGTGCGTGTACAGATGTGTGTGTACAGATGTGTGTGTACAGATGTGACGTAATGACGCAAAGAAATGCTCGAATCTCCCGCGGAAATCCACCAGTACCACTGGAATTAAAAACATTATTACAAGCTTACCGCTTTGAATCGAGCTACGGCAAGCAGAGAGTTTTGAACACTGGCTGGTTATGTACTTGCTCAAACATTTATTTTGGATAATTTTAAACCAAAAAAGTTACGGACTGGAGCTTTAATCTTTGTTAATGTTAGTTCACAGTGCATTAACTAATGTTAACAAATACAACCTTTGATTTTAATAATGTATTAGTAAATGCTGTAGAAGTGCAGTTCATGTTAACTAATGAACCTTATTGTAAAGTGTTACCCATAGTTTATAAAATCGTAAAATGTGCAAAAGAATTGTCCACACGATAACTATAACAGCACAGAGGAATGACATCACTGGAATCACTTTCAGAACGATTTTTTTCAACTGATGAATGATAAAAACATTTACTGCCAATCAGAATCCACAGCCTCAGACCCGTTGGCTAAATTGGCTGGTTTTCAAAGACATTATCTGATTGGTTGAATTCAACAGGATGTACGGGAGACGTGTGTGCATGTTCTTTAACGGTCCGCCTGAAAAATAAAGATTGACGCCACACCCCCTCATGGAAGAGGAAAGCCGTTTACAACTGTGACAATGAGCGTTCATCAGGATCAACTAAACGTGGGATTTTCAAAAGCATGTAAAGTTCGCGGCATGTAAAGTTCGCGGCAAGAGTTTCACACACCGGTCTGTTATTGTAGGGGCATCGACGTTACATTTTTACGCCCCTAAACATGACGTGGAACAAAACGAACTGTGATTGGTTGCTTTACATGTCAGTCAGACGGCCTCTGGGCAATCCTTGGCCAATAAAAGCTGCGATGGGTTCCAGATCCTCTGCCGTCAGTCTGTAGGTCTGACTACGCGAGACTAGAATCCACTCTGTTTTAAGAGCTTGAGCATTTAAAGGGATAGTTCACCCCAAAATAAAAATTCTGTCAGTGGCTCAATCTTAAGTTTATCAAGCGACGAGAATAATTTTTGTGCGCAAAAAACAAACAAAAATAACGACTTTATTCAACTATTCATTTCCTTCTCTGTGGGCCTCGAGTGAGTTCACGTAGTGTAACAGCGCAGCGCTTCTGGGTTGCACGTCACACGCATCACACACATGACCAGCGTCGGCCAATAGTGAGCCTACGTGTGGCGTACAACCCAGAAGCGCTGCGCTGTTACTCTACCTGAACTCACTCACGGCCCACAGAGAAGGAAATAAATAGTTGAATAAAGTCGTTATTTTTGTTTGTTTTTTGCGCACAAAAAGTATTCTCGTCGCTTGATAAACTTAAGATTGAGCCACTGACAGAATTTTCATTTTGGGGTGAACTATCCCTTTAAATGCCAATTCACACTGCGGCGACAGACGGCAACAGGTTTTGTCGGATAAGTGTGTTCCCCCTGTTGGAGCTTGTTTTCGCTGATTGAACATGCCGAATCAGCGTTAGGGCCGGTCCACACAGAACGCGTTTCTGCTGTTAAAAGCGCGAGATGCAGAAATTATAACCGTATTTTATAATGAGTTGACTGTCCCTTTAAATCTACGCTTTATCTCTTTGCTTTGAATGCATGTGTGGGCATTTCAAGTCCTGATAGTCATAGGCCACATCCACACGAAGCCAGAGCTTTCCCTATCCGATCTTATTTTTTCCTCGTTCGGAATTTTTTTTCGTAAACACGGAAGAAATATAAGCGTACACACGAAACCACTGAAACCGATGTGGTATACATGCCAGACCAGTATGTGGCGCTGTAAATCTGCCACAGAGATACACTAAACAAGGAGAAGACTTGGAGCATGCGCATAACCTTGTGCGCTCTATATACGAACCCAACGCGACAGCAAGGTGAAGACGAAGATTGCTCACTGTAGTAGCATAGGAGCAGAAGATTTAGCTTTAGTAAAGCTAATAGGCTCAGTAGCTTCTGGAGCACGAACACAAGCATATAGTCCGCCTGTGTTGTTGCTGTTATGTGTGACGTAGCGGTGTGTGACTAATGCTGACACGTGATGTGATGACATCCTCGTTTCACAAAATGTACGGATTGGCCGTACACACGAAAATGCAAGGGTGTCGGTTTCAGATTTATCCACTCTGGGACCCAGTTTAAAAAATATAGCGGTTTCAGTGTCCCAAAACGCCGGATCCGTCTGGACGAAACACCAATACGATACAAAATTTGCACGTATAGAGCTAAACGCGTCTCCTTATGGACAGGGGCCCTGGTCCCCAGGTGAAGTGTGTGTGAGACCTAGGCTGTATTGCTCACCTGCTCTTGGGTCAACACATCCGCCTCCCAGTCACTGCAGCGCAGCTCCAGAGATTTGTCCAGCGAGATATTCAGCAGGTCTGCAGCCAGAGACTTCAGACTCAAGCCGTTATTCAGCACCGCTTGCCTTCAACACAGTCAACATCACCTCATGTCACCCCGTAGGCCATCATTACTGAGATCATGACTTTTACAGACACCTGCCTACAATTACTGAACACTCAACTTAAACATCTGAACAAAATTAACTGAATTGAGATTGATATTTACACTAACTCTACAACATAGACAGTTACTGAACTGAATTGAGTCACTAAACTAAATTGAGCTGAATAAAGACATGTCTTCTGTAGAGCTGCTTATAGCTGGATTGAACTCATAATTGATAAATTTTATAATATAATACAGTTATTTTCCTGTTCTGTTATTAATCTATATTGTATAAAGCCCTATTTAAATAAATGTGACTTGACATGATCATTTGTAGATAGTAAGGCTGCAAAACCAGGGCGATTTTTTTTTTTATTGTGATGCGATTACTTATATTATAAGTAATATATAAGCTCTGTATAATAATAATAATAAACAAAATGAGAAATATTAAAATTTTAATGTTTCACAGTAAAATAAAAAAAATGAGTATTATTAAATAATTATAATAATTTTGGAAACACTGAATCATGAGCTGTTCCAGTGCCGTGCTTCACTCTGAAACAAGCAGAGCATGTATTTAAAGGTGACCTATAATTCAAAATTGAATTTACCTTGGTATAGTCAAATAACAAGAGTTCAGTGCATGGACATGACATAGAGTGAATCTCAAACTGGACTGTTTTCGCATTTCGCACTCATTTAATTCACGTTTATAAAAAACACCCCTGAAAAACGGTCGGTTCTCCACACAATACCGACTGTGACGCAATAGTCGGGATCATTAATATGTACGCCTCCAAATATTTGCATAATGCCAGCCCTCAATGCCAGGCGGAACTGCGCAGCCGAAGCATGGCAGTTGCTCAGTGTGGATGTACACATGAACACAAAAGTATTTTTTAGTTCCTTCATCTGAGCCTCTGAAGAAACAATGGGTTAATTTTATTTTCTCTGGAAATTTTCAAACATTTCACCGAGTGTTTCCTCAACTTTGGCCAATACAGAGCTGGCCTCGGATCGAGCTACCAAGCAACACTTTCTGATGTGTAATTGTTCAAGTTCAGACAGGTAATCTTTCTCTCAAAATCGTTCAATACTGTTTATGCATCAGTAAGTCAAGCCAGTGACTAAAATATCAGCTTCACATCGTTTCTTTTAGTAGGATGAAAATAATCGTATTTAAATTGTGAACAAATTATATACAGAAAGCGATCAAAGAACAATCTTTCCACACAGCGCGAGTTTATCTGGACACTTGCCAAACTCCTTTTGAAATCAATGACGCACGTTACTGCACAACGAAGCTCTTACTGTATTTACATCATCGTGTTTGCATTGGTGAAAGCAGAGAGAGTGCAGAAACTGCTTTGCAATGATAAGATCTTCATTCTCGCGATCAACACACTGCCATCTGCTCAATGCTCATCACGGCAACATTTTATGTGATGGGAATAGATCTAAATACTTTAAAAACATCTCACGATTCGTTAATCTCGATAGCTGTTATAGTAAAAACGTATAATAGCAGTAGTAAAAGTATTCGGGAGAGAGTTTCACATGTAATGCGTTGCTATTTCATATGCAAGCATGTCAGCCAATCACAGCAGTGGCCGCGGTTACACTGAATCCCACAGCAGACACGCCCCTTCAAACAGAGCGTTCAAATCAGAGGCTAAAAGCAGGCTAGGAAAAATGCCATTTATTTCTAAATTATGAATATTTTGTATCTAAAAAACATACTAACATTATAACTAACATTCATAACACTGAACCAGGAAACATTATAAAATAATAATAAAAAACATTCTAGGGCACCTTTAATTAAAATCTCAGCCTTTGTGATTTAATAAATCACAATAAGCCATATCGCGATTTTGGTTTCATTTTGGTTAATTGTGATTCGTGCAGCCCTAATAGACAGAGGCAGAATACAAATCTAAACTTAAAACGTACATATTTGAATTGGCTTATAAATTAGAAATCCAGTCATTGTTTTATTGTATTCCTGATTATTAACGTATGATCTGATGTAGAGCTGCACGGTTCTGGATAAATTGAGAATCTCAACTGACCTTAACTTATCTGTGTTATTATCCAAACTATAAACTTTTATCCCAGATCTGAATGTTCGTTGTGATCGTACTTGTCAAAGGTTTGATAGACAGAGCCGAACCGTGGACATTTTGTAATAAGATCACATGGGTGTTTGAATAGAGATCGCGATCTTTTAACGATTAATTGTGCAGCTCTAGTTTTATTTATGTTGTTTTATTAATGCATGTTTGAAGATGATGTAGAGCACAATGGTCAGCTAGTGTTGTTTTAAAGAGGTGGTTGATTATGATTTCACTTTTCTAACTTTAGTTAGTGTGTAATGTTGCTGTTTGAGCATAAACAACATCTGCAAAGTTACGACGCTCAAAGTTCAAAGCAAAGGAAGATATTTTCTTTTAAAGAAATTGCTTTATAAGGACTACAACAAACGGCTGGTAGAGGCTACACGACATTCCTCCCGGGTTAGAGACATCACAAACCCTAGATTTTACATAAACCCCGCCCCCCGTAACACGATTTATAGATTATCATGACAGAATATGCTTATCAATGTCTAGAAGATAACTACACATAAGCTACATAAATTTATCAACTAACCATTCAGAAACGTCCTGTTGCTTCTAAAAGGCTAAAAGTTTGATCAATGTCCGTGGATTTGTGTGTGAGGTAAAAGGACACGAGCTGTTGAAGATCCGCCCCCTGTGCCGGGAGCAGCAGATCATTTGCATTTAAAGGGACAGACACAAAAACGGTGCGTTTTTGCTCACCCTCAAAAAGTGATGTGCACACACACTCTGGGGACATCAGAGACTCATTTTACACCTTGTGAAAATTAGTGCTTTAATTAGTGCTCTATAAATAAACTGACTGGTTGACTGGTAAAAATAAAATGATTGTAGGATCAAATTGAGGCCTTACCTCTGTCTGAGGGCCAGGTAACGGAGGTCCACGGTGCAACTCAGAGTCAGACCATGATCATGGGTCAGGCGTTTCCCATCCTCATAACATCCCACCCCGACCTTCAGCACACAGGGGTCAGACAGGACCCCCACGAGAGCCTTAGGTAGAGGAATCTGCGCATTACGAAACGTCAGCAGTCTGACCAGCATACAGCGGCCGGAGAACGTCGCCAGCTGAAGTAAAGACACCGCACAGGCCTTGCCTTTGACCGACACCTGTGGAAGCAGACGACATCCAGTGAAGGAGAGCACTGATGCTACCAAGACAACATTAACATTTGGTCTAGGGCTGCACGATATTGAAGAAAAATGCGATATTCGATACGATATTGCTTAAAGTGTGTAAAATAAGCTTAAATTATCTTTAAAATTATAACCTAAATACGCGTTTCACATTCTTTTTGTGAGAAGAAAGCATGCCTACAATCCCTACTTCTGAAAGTGAACAGCGTTGTTTTACTGTAGCATAAGTAGTAAGCGTTATTTCAAAATCAGTTGAACAGAATGAACTGAATAACCAAATGCGAAAATAAAACACTGCTTAATTTTCACTGTATGAATTATTCTGATTCTTATTAAAGCTACAAAAGTTATTCAGCCAAGAGCAGTGAGTGATTTTCTCTGTCTTTTCTTCATGACCCCAGTTATTGCAAGCTGTTGTGCATATCGCAATATATACATTTGCGATATTTGGATATATTGTGCAGCCCTAATGTGGTCACATTCAGAGCCATGCTTACACGCACGCTTTTTACCCATTCACAGTCCAATCCCAAAACCGGATACACCGAAAGGTCCTTTTGAAACGCAGGCCAAAGCGTTTCCCACTCGTCTAGAGAACTCACGACCACAGGCGGCACCTCTAACAGTGTCTGTGCACGCAGAGGCTTCTGGGTTTGTGGCGGGGCAGACGACTCTGGTGAGGGGGTGATTTCCACTTCTAGCTGGGCTTGTATAGGCTCAGCCGAAGAGGGGCCATTGAGGGCCTTTTTCTTTTGAGTGCGGATGCTGCGCCAGAGGAAGAGACCACCGAGAGTGGCTCCTAACATAGTGGCCACTGCTGCGGTCCATGTGCTCTGCCTGGACATCGTTGCAGCTGCACCAACTCCCACCTGAAACTGAAAATGATATTTTAGTAGTCCACTTTAGACATTTTACTAACTATAAGCAAGTTTGCAACTAAGTGTCAACTAGCAGTCATTAGAGTATTAATAGACTGTCTGCTTAAAGGGTTAGTTCACCCAAAAATAAATGAATGGATGAAATCTGAGAGCTTTCTGTCCCTCCATTGACAGTCTACGCAACTACCACTTTGACTCTTCAAAACGGTCATGAAGAGATAGTCAAACGAATCCACATGAATTGAACCGTTTAGTCCAAATTTTCTGAAGAGACTTGATCACTATCTGAAGAACAGATTTAATTTAGTTTTATATTCACATATAGACATTGACCAGCGAACATAAACAGAAGCTCAACCGAACCTGCTTAAACTGCTTAAACCGAAGCTCAAACGTGATGCGTAACACACGAGAATTAGAGGTTTTGCCGATATATCGGTGCCGATAGTTGATTGGTGGAACTATCGTTATCGGCAAAAATCCACACCGATAGTTTTTCCGGGTTGCGTCCGTTGCTGGAGCGGCTGAGAAGTGTGCGCAGTCATTACACAGAGCGAGAGCGCCCTCTAGAGGCGGAATAACAAACCATCACTGGCTGAGTTGTTTACGTTAACACGTGAGTGCAGCGTGCATTTAAAACCCCGACAGCGAAACGGTACATAAAGTACATATTGCCATTTCATTATAAAGTAATTTGTTGACTAGATTTGTTGACAGCAGTGTGTTTGCCCTAATTAGTAACGGCTACCTCAAGAGATTAAAGCAATGTGACAAAAAAACCCGCAAACCTGACCCAAATGTTTTATGACGCAATTGTTACCATCTACTTGCATTAGTTTATATCCAGCTGGTCACTTTTATGCATTCATTAGCCGGCGAAGTTGCATATTTAAAGCTAGTGACGTGGTTGCTTTCTCAACATTGATATGTTCATGCAGAAACAAATCAGAAACGCATTCGATTTCAGTTCTTTTTTTATCAATACAATACATATTGTTACTTTGATTAGATAATCATCAAGTGTTCTAAAATAAAAGCAAATAAAGTGAGAGACATGTAATAAAGGTCTACATTTATGTCATTTTAATGGCCATCTTTGGATTTATATGAAATGTAACACTTTACAATAAGATTCCATTTTTAGCATTAACTAAGGTTAATAAATGTAGAAGTATTATTAATTGTTAGGGTTTGTTAATTTTAACATTTAGTTAATGCACGATGAACTAACATGGTACATGGTAACAGGGTACAATTGTATTGCTCAAATATTAATACATGCAGTAAAAACGTATATTGCATAATGTATATAGTTCATGAAAGCCATCTAATACAGCCTAGTTAACAAATGGGACTTGCAAAGTGTTACCTATGAAATGTACATATGTTTCTAGGTTATAGCTAAAGAAACATATTTGACCTGTAGGCCTAATATTTTAATGTTTAAATTATTTTCTGTAGAGTTTGTTCAGTAGAACTTCTCATTTTAAATTCATATTTATATATTAATTTCATTTAGAACATTTTCAGTTCAGCACTGTTATGTTTCTTTTTAATCCAGTATCCATTTAAAAAAATATCGGTTGAATAATCGGTATGTACGGTCAAACCTAAATATCGGTAAAATCCACTATCGGTCGACCTCTAATGAGAATGAACCTCATTGGTTCCTGCTGAAGCTCAAATGGGCTTTTATGGACTTTTTGAAGCCGTAGCTGTCAATGGAGGGACAGAAAGCTCTCAGATTTCATCAAAAATATCTTCATTTGTGTTCAGAAGATGAACGAAAGTCTTTGGAACGACATGAAGGCGAGTAAATAAATGACAGTATTTTCAACCTATACAGTGACAAATCAACTTTTCCATTCACGTGTCCCCTTAAATTGATTTCCAGAGGCATTTTTATCAATTTTTATCATCTTTTACAACAAATTCTTACATTTGATCAATAAAATTAATTTAAAACAATATGATGTAATCAATTAAATTAAATCATTATCAACCAGATTCATTCAGTAATGAAACACCATAGTTTTTCGCTTGCAGAAGCCAAACGTTTCATTTGTGAACTAGAACAAAAAAACCGGACAATATTGTGGCTAAAATTTAGCTAACTCGATACTAACTTGCGATTCTGGTTTTATACAGTAGTTTAGTTCAGTAAAATTAGCAATTGTGCTGATATTCAGGAAAACGGCACTCTTGCTCGTGTATAAATCATGGCTATGAAAATCAACAACGCATTTAGGGGCTTTTTTTTTTTTTTTTTTTCATATCTTGAATTTTGGTAGCATGTTTGCTCCAAGCTCCCATTTATTTCATTAACGAGGCCATGAATGAACCTAAGCAATAGCTATAATTAACCTAACTAAGCAATAATCTACCATCATTTACTACTACAACACCAAAAGCATAAATTCAAAATCTTTCTGTTTTACTATGTTTTTGTCGTTGCTGTAAACAGCACTGACTAACACAAAGTTACAGCAGTTTTATTGTCATGACTGTGAGATTTCGGCAGAAAACATGCATTGCCAACGCTAAATTATTGTGCAGAACACAAATTTACAACGATACTGTTGTTTAATGTAAACACTATGACAAAGGACCTGCCTTATTAATGACACTTCTTAATTATTTCGTGTAGAATATATTACTCTTTAAAAACCTATTGTGTATGGGATGATTTTAGTATCAAAATGATTAACACGTGCAAGCACACTTATCAATGAACTTGATACATGTTGCAGAAATGTTTTATCCATGCCTTTCAACTTGTGTGTGCAAAATTCAAAATTGAATGAATGTGAAGCAATTTGTACAAATAGAGACATTTTTGTGAATACAAATGTTTTCCTTTGTATTAGTGTATCATAATTTGCACATGCAACACAGAAGACGTGCATGTGTGGATCAGGTGACGCGCGTGCATTCATTGACTCGATTCATTGAGTCGATCCTATTTGATTCATTTGGATTTTGAGACTTTCATTTCGCGGGTTTCGCCTTGCACGATCCACACACAGCTGTCTGAGAAAAGCTGCTACCACTAGATGGCAGTATTCTGCTTAAACAGACAACGGCAGCATAATCAAGCGTTCTTCCGCATTTAAGACGCTTAATGAGAGAGAGTGATATTGAAGCACCACATTTAGTACACAATAATATAGGCCTACCCTATTAATAAAGCATACTTTATAGAGGCAAACAGATAACATCAGATTATGAACAACACCCATAGAAAACCATTAGTTGCATGTTCAATAGCCTACGGTATATTGGCAACTGAGTTTAAATATCACCGTCTTACTGCATTGACGTTAAGCTTTTTCTTTATAATATGCTCTATGGGAGGAAAACTATATAGCCTACAGACAAGAGACTACATGAACGCAACGCACGGCGTTTCAAGTTAATACAATTTTCCTGCATATTTCTACATGAGAATGCTTTGACGCGCTAACCACAGCTCATGATGCACAAGGGAACGTCTGCCAATTCCACTAACTGCGTTAAAACCACTGATCTATAATGTCATTCTATATAGATCAGTGCCAGTGGTTAAAACGTATAATTTGTTTTAATTCAAATTACTTTTTAAATTTAATAACAGACATTTTCAAATTCCAAAGCTCGTAGAAGGTTTCTGTAAGACTGACTTACAAGTAAAATTTGGACAATACTTCCCTTCATGTAGCCTGTATTCTGCAGAAAAATACTGTAATTCACCAAAAGGGTTTTTTCATGTTCAAAATGGTTGTAGTATGTTCAGTGACTAGACTGGCTTACTACAGGTGAAATTGCCCCAATAACTCCCTTCATGTAGCCTATTTAGTAAACAATTATTATTTCATAAAAAAATTACTGTAATTAACCAAACGGGTTTTTGGTGACTTACTACAAGTGAATAATGTAAAATTTCACCTGACTTGTCACTAGGAACGTACTACAACCTTTGGAACATGAATAGAAAAACAATTTACAGTAAATTAAAAAATTGTAGGCTACTGTTCAATCGAGATATTGGCTGGACATAGTACAGTAACAGTAGGCTAAGTCAGTCTGCCCACTAGACTTCCAAGGTTATAATATAACCTTGGAAATATGTTCATTTGAATGAATGACTGGACGTTTATATTTTTTTGACTGTGAGTGGAGTTTGCAGATGGTCCCTTTATAAAATGAGGCGAATATCAAACCTAAAACTTACTTCACTGCACTCTCGGACCGGTTGCTCTCCCATTCACATGCAAACTTAAACGCAACTGCAGAATTTTTATTTCATGTTAAGCTTTTTCTTTTTAACAGGCTCGGGAAGGAAATGTTATTAACTTGAAACGCCGTACATTGCGTTCATGTAGTCTCTTGTCTGTAGGCTATATAGTTTTCCTCCCATAGAGCATATTATAAAGAAAAAGCTTAACGTCAATGCAGTAAGACGGTGATATTTAAACTCAGTAGCCAATACACCTTACTGAACATGCAACGCGCGATTGCACGTTAAGCGTTTTATAATGGTTTTCTATGGGTGTTGTTCATAATCTGACGTAATGTTTGCCTCTATAAAGTATGCTTTATTAATAGGGTAGGCCTATATTATTGTGTACTAAATGTGGTGCTTCAATATCACCCTCATTAAGCGTCTTAAATGCGGAAGAACGCTTGATTATGCTGCCGTTGTCTGTTTAAGCAGAATACTGCCATCTAGTGGTAGCAGCTTTTCTCAGACAGCTGTGTGTGGATCGTGCAAGGCGAAACCCGCGAAATGAAAGTCTCAAAATCCAAATGAATCAAATAGGATCGACTCAATGAATCGAGTCAATGAATGCACGCGCGTCACCTGATCCACACATGCACGTCTTCTGTGTTGCATGTGCAAATTATGATACACTAATACAAAGGAAAACATTTGTATTCACAAAAATGTCTCTATTTGTACAAATTGCTTCACATTCATTCAATTTTGAATTTTGCACACACAAGTTGAAAGGCATGGATAAAACATTTCTGCAACATGTATCAAGTTCATTGATAAGTGTGCTTGCACGTGTTAATCATTTTGATACTAAAATCATCCCATAATTGTGCGTTTGTGAAAACATTTACGAAGCATTTCGACCAAACCTGACACATCTGTGCTTTGATGAGGAGTTCATAGTGCAACGAATTAATGACTTTAATCTCAGTGTGTTTGTGTCAAAGGTGTAGTACTTTATTCTAACGGATTGTTAGGACACGTACATCTAATTAAATCACTATGTAACATGTCATTCTCGTTTGAATGTTGCAGAGGGTTTACGTACCTGAAGACTGAATAGATGTCAGTATAATGAGCGAATATTACCATTCAGTCACACACTCTTATGATGAACAGCTGCAGCGCTTCTTCTTCGCTGGTTTTATTTAATCAGCGCTCGCAGAAATCATCCGCGCCACAGCGCCACCAATGCTGGAGAAGCGCAACTGCAACATCTCAAGAAAACTGCCAATGTCATCTCAACCGGGGGAAAAAAAACACAAAAACATTGTGCATAACGAAAATGAATGCTGTTTTGCAACCTTTTTAGCCATTTTGAAATCATTTGCAGAAAATTAGGCACAACATCTACACAATTATCAATCACTGTAATGCATCTATTGTCATTTTATTTGCATGCATTTAGCATGACTTTTGTGTATTTTGCATTCTACATTAGGCGAACAACTTGCAATGATTTCCTGAGGCATCTTCTATAAAAGCTTTTAAAAAGGGGTTTGTCAAAGAGCATGTGAAAAGACACGTATTTTTCAAACATCTGTTGAAGAATTACACATTAAAGTATTCGTCCTCCAGAAAGGTCAACACATTCAAATAGAATGACATTTTTTTTGTCTTATTGGAGATGTTTGAATACTAAACAGTATGTTTGTGCAAAGTGATTAATGCAATGGCATTTAAATAGATATTTACCCTCTATAAAATGATTTAAACAATATTTTAATAGTTGTTAAAAGTATTAGATACCACATGACATGAGCATGTGTTTCAGCAGTGGTGGACAATAATTTACACCTGAATAATATGGAAAGAATTTAATAGTCATTGAACTGAAAATACAGTGATACACAATAGAAAATAAGAGAATTATTCAGTTTCATCATACTTGACCAGTTAGAGAATATCATGCCATCAAGTCCCTTTCTTTACCCATTCAATATAAATTGGAAATGGGAGTGACTTGAGTAACAGTCGGTCCCTTTCCCAAATAATGCACTCGATGTGCACTTGCTGTCCCTGCTCGTGTGCAGGTGAAATATATTAATTCATAGCATAAAATAATTCATAAATCAATATTTTTTTAAAAGGTGATACTGTCCAACTTGGAGACCTGTGGATGAAGTTTCAGAAGCATCTCTTTTGCTTCCCTTGAGCAAGAGCATGCAGTTCATCTTATGATGTTTATTAAGTTGCAAAACAATGTTCACAGATACAAGAATACACAGCAAATCATGGAACAGAAGCACACAGAACCGCTTTCCTCTACCACCAACATTTTATTCAATCTTTTAGATTAAATTTTTCGTAAAGAATTGGAATAATACAATGCAATACTTACAAAATGGAATCAAAACCTAAAAACAGGGCCAATCATCTTCATGTCTGATAAAAGTGTTGATGGGATTGCATGAAAAGCAGAGAACAAAAAAAATGTAAAAAATCACTGCAATCATATTAGAGTTGGAACCACAGGTCATTTCAAGAGAGTGAACATCGTAGCTCACTAATGCCACAGGTGGCCAAATGATCGATTAGTACAGTGCTTGTGCTAAAATGAATAAGATATCTTCTTATCGAAATAAAATAAAAGATGACACTTTCAATGTTAAAATTCATTAAAAATGTGCTAAAAATGATAATAATATGTTGCAATATAAATCAAAGTACTGATACTATAGTACAAAAAAAATATAAGCTTAAAATGACAGCATGAAAGACAGATAACGTCGTCTTGGACCTGTGTGATTTAAAGGTCCTCAAACCCAACCGGGGTCCATTTCCATTATCTACAACATCCCAAACTATATGCATGGTGGCCAGAAGACTAAAACCGAATAAAGAAAGAGATGTAAACCATCCCTCACACCTATATATATATATGTATATATATATATATGCTCTTTTCCTGTATGCACACAAAATAAGCCTGCACCTTTGGAAAGATTATTTACAGCTCTTCAGTTAATTTTCAAAGCTATTTAAAATATACTTAATGCATAAAAATAAAGATTTTGGCATTCTCTTTGCTTCTTCCTCTTCTGATTGCGAAGTTCTACAAGAACCTTGTGAACCCGGAAGGTCTGCGAAGTGCCTCGTCCTTCTGATAGGGAGCATTCATTCATCCAGCCTGCTAGGGGGCGCTGTGAGACGGGTCAGTCGGGGTCCAGGGAGTCCTGAATAATATAGGGGTCGCATTAGAGCATCAAAAGAATCCTTTTACCATCATCTTGTCGCTCTGATTAATCTCGGACACAAATTCGGCGTAACCGTTTTTGGGGGCACCTTCATCAACCCCCTCGTCTCCATTTGTTCATGTCACGAGCAAAAACCCAAAAATGGACGAACAGGCAAATAAATTGAAAGACAGAGTGAGAGAGAGAGAGAGAGATATGAAGCTGAAGTGGTTTCGGGTCGTTCACTCTATAGTCGTCTCTGCATTAATGTTCATCGCGTCGCTCGGTGACTCTCGGCCACACTGTGTGTCTTTAGAGTTGGATCTCGAAGGTCTTGTGGAGCTCGCTGGAGAAGGGGTTTGTGGGCGAAGGAGCGGTTCGCTGTTGCGAGCGGGTCTCCAGTGCGGCCCACTGGGCCTCGAAGGCATCGGCTGGATGCTGAACTGCATTAGACTGAGCCGCCCAGTTGTTCGCCCCGTTAAAAGCCACACTGCTTTTGGGAGGCTGCAATGCTGTGGCGTTGGACACTGGAGGTAGGAATGGTTTTCCGAAGGGGCTGGACACGGTTTGGGTGTCGAACTGGGCTGGTGGTGGTGTGGAGAACGGGGAGGACTGGGGAACTGGAACTGGCACCGGGATGGGTTGGGTTTGCGTGGCGGATCCGAACACGTTTGCCACCATCTGTGAAGGTGTGATGCCGACCAGCGGGAAGCTTGGTTGCATGAAGGGGATCCCGTTGGACACTGGGAAGGCCGGCTGGCGGGGGGGAACGGCAGGGACCGCAGGCGGAGGGATGAAGGGGGCAGAAGGGGCAGGTGGAGGGATGAAGGGGGCAGAAGGGGCAGGCGGAGGGATGAAGGGGGCAGAAGGGGCAGGAGGAGGGATGAAGGGGGCAGAAGCGGGGAAGGGCTGCTGAGCGGGAGGCGTGTCGGTTCTCACGGCGCCGGCGGGTTGGTGGACACGCACAGACTTGGACACCTCCTCCAGCCAGCGGTCCGCTTCCGATGGCGTGCGTTTGTGGGAGGGTGTGTAGAGAGTTGCGCTGACTGCAGGAAGGGCTCCCACGGCAGGTGCAGGATTTGGCCACTCGCTCCCTACAGGGAAAAAAAAACAAGAATGTTTTTAAGCATGCCATTTATTCTGCTAGGCTGTTACAGTTTAAAGGTTCTCTCGGGAGGGTTCCACTCGATTCCAAAAAGAATCAATTCTTCAATTCCGAGGCTTTTGGAATCGAGAGCTAATACTTTGTATTCGGACATATTACTCTTTTGGCGTACTGTTTTTCGCATACTATATAGTAAGGAAGAACACACCTGATTCCGATTATCAGCTCGTAAGTATAGACTCCAACCCTGCGTCTCAATGTCCATACTATCTATCCTAAACAGTATGTGAGATTAAAATAAGTGTGTCCCAAAGCATAGTATATGTTGAAAAGAGTAGCCTATGCCAGAAGGCCCCGGATGGTCAACTATTTCCGGCGGATTTTCGAAGTGTGGATCCGTGCTCACTTTAACGGCTAATATTGCCCACAATAAACTGCGCTTTGAAAGAGGATTCGGTTCAGAACTACAAACACGAGTTAAAAGTGTTCAGAAAACTACAAAACATACGTTAAAGGAGAACTCCGGGCAATTTTTAAGTGAATCTTGATCGTTAGACCTTTGTGAGTACTGACTATAGGAAAAAAAACGAACCGGATTGGTGCTTGCTACGCGGAGCTGCGACCGCGAATGCCCAGAGCTCCCACCCAGCTAAAACGGCAGCTATGGGGGCATCGACATAAAGAGCGTTTTTGAGCCTCTTAACAGACACAAAATGCAATTAAAATGTCTGTCCAACATGAACAGGGACCCTGCAGTCCCGTGCTGCGCTGCAGTCCCGTGCTGTAGCCGGAAAAGGTAAACAATGTCCAGGTGGGAGGAGCGTTGATCATGTGCGACGAGTTATGATCAGAGTTGCTTACAAGTGAAGAAGAAATGGCTCCTCCCACCTGGACATTGTTTACCTTTTCCGGCTACAGCACGGGACTGCAGCGCGAGACTACAGCTTGCCGTCTAAAAGACTATTTAGGTGAGTTGAAACAATGGCTAAGTTGCTAAACGCATCTTGTTCACATGTAGGGTCCCTGTTCATGTTGGACAGACATTTTAATTGCATTTTGTGTCTGTTAAGAGGCTCAAAAACGCTCTTTATGTCGATGCCCCCATAGCTGCCGTTTTAGCTGGGTGGGAGCTCTGGGCATTCGCGGTCGCAGCTCCGCGTAGCAAGCAGCAATCCGGTTCGTTTTTTTTTCCTATAGTCAGTACTCACAAAGGTCTAACGATCAAGATTAACTTAAAAATTGCCCGGAGTTCTCCTTTAAGTAGAGGTTTAGATAAAGGGCTTTGAGTGACTAATAATCAACATTCAAGCTAATAAAAAATATTTATGTAATGTTATCTGTGTTATATTTCATTTGCAACAACAACGTGAACTTTTATAAAGATCTGTTTGTGCATTAACTTTTAAATGCATCGTTATGCATGAATAGTCGCATGAAAGACCTGCGACTGCAGATCAACATGCAACTGCTCCGATACGGTAGGAAATTAAATTAAATTGAATTAAATGTGGAGGATTTTATCTTTGACAAGATGATTGACAGGTCAGTTTACGTGACAGGATGCAACAGAGAGCAACTGTAAAATAAGTGATAGTATGTCCTAAAGCTTGTCTAATCTTCTGCTACACACTCAAAAGTAAGCACTTTTTCTTCAAAAAGAGTACATACTTTTAGGGCGTAGTATAAGGAGAAGAATTGAGATGCAGCACAAGACTGAAATGGGTGTGTCAGACAAAGGGTTCATTAAAATTGTGCAATCCAATCTACCTAATATTGTTTCATTAAAAGAACATCAGAGAACGGCTCTTAAGGCTTTTGTTGGTGGAAACGATGTTTTCGCCCTTCTCCCGACCGGATTTGGCAAGAGCTTGATCTACCAAATGGCTCCTCTGGTAGTGTG